CAGCGCATCGAGAACAACTTTCCAACGAACGTCCCAATTGAGAAAGTGATCGAATGAAAAAGATAGCGCCCCCAATTTATTGACGCCGGAAGGATTGGATTATATATACAAACACAAAGTTTGGGCGCATAAATCAGATGTTGGAAAGGCTGAATGTACTGAATTACTGACTCACAACGTCTCGTTTTCTCAGAGAACCTGGATAATTTCTTGTGTTAGTTTTTTGATACGTTTCCTTTGATTAATTTTTAAATATTGAATCACAACTCAAATATCTCTTTTTTACAAAATAATATATTTAAACAAATTATAAAGCAAACAACTTAGCTTTACAATGTATTTATAATGAAAAATATGTGCCAGATAACCACAGCAAAATGAAAAAAAAATCTAACAATTATTTACTTACGAGTGGGTTTGAAAAGGAAAGCACAAAAATAAGGTTATGAAGAAAGAATTATTACTGAAAGAGCATGTAAAACTTGTGTATTTTGGAATAAAAACTCGTGGTCCTGTTTGATCAGGAAAAAAAGAAACGTGTAAGTATCCAACCTGGATGTTCGGAGGTTATACTATAACTTTTGCGCTCCATTTAATTTTTAGATGTACNAGGGAGAGAGAGAGAGAGAGAGAGAGAGAGAGAGAGAGAGAGAGAGAGAGAGAGAGAGAGAGAGAGAGAGAGAGAGAGAGAGAGAGAGAGAGAGAGAGAGAGAGAGAGAGAGAGAGAGAGAGAGAGAGAGAGAGAGAGAGAGAGAGAGAGAGAGAGAGAGAGAGAGAGAGAGAGAGAGAGAGAGAGAGAGAGAGAGAGAGAGAGAGAGAGAGAGAGAGAGAGAGAGAGAGAGAGAGAGAGAGAGAGAGAGAGAGAGAGAGAGAGAGAGAGAGAGAGAGAGAGAGAGAGAGAGAGAGAGAGAGAGAGAGAGAGAGAGAGAGAGAGAGAGAGAGAGAGAGAGAGAGAGAGAGAGAGAGAGAGAGAGAGAGAGAGAGAGAGAGAGACACGTGTACTTATGTACACACAGGCAGGAAAGACTCTCAATTCTCTGTCTTCGTTGACTTCATAGCTCTTTTCCCGCCCCGACCTGGCCCCGGCACGCGAAAGCTTCCAATTAGCCGCGGTATTTATACCCCGATCGAACTCTTGAAGCCTCACCTACTTCATTGGTATACACACACTAGTGAAGTGTGGCATTGATGGTTCAAAGAGGTGATTGAATGAGACTGAGAGAAAGAATGGAAAGAGGGTCCTTTTGCACGCGATGTCGTTCCGAGTACGTCTGACGCGCCCTGTATTGTCGCTCATGAAAATTATATCACGTGACTAAGAACATTGTACGTGTCAAGTGCCGATGTGATTCGACTGACGCTTTGTTTTATCACTTAACCGTCTTTGTGTGCGGACAATCATAAAATTGCTTCTCTATTTTAGTAAATTAAAAAAAAAGATAATTTAAAAAATCCACTCACCAAAGTGTTAAGGTCCTTGTTCAGATCGTCGAGGTTCGACTCAGCTCTGCCATTGCGTACGTATGCTTCAGAATACGACTTGGTGATCGTGCCTTGGCCGTTGGTACTGTCGCTGTTCACCGACGTCAAAATGCGTTTCCGATGTCCCGGTTTTTGTATCTCAAGCACAGCCGCGAGCTCGACCTCCCAGACCCTTCGCACGCGATCCATGTCCGTGTACAGGTGCCGCCTGAACAGATCCGCGTACCCGGACAGGTGTATCGAGTCGAGCCATTCGTCCACCGTCTGGTTCGCTGACTGGTGACTCGGAATCTGCTTCTCCACTCGCTTGTTCAGAAGTGACACCGCGTCGAGGATAACTGCTCGTTCCTTTTCGCTCATTATGCCCATCTCCTTGAGGTCCGTGTCTTCCAACAATCCGTTCTGAAATTTCGAGAGAAGGTCACCCTTGTGCCGAATGGTTGTTTTTGTCATCTCAGCGATAGTCAAAGATTTTTCTCAACATATCGTGATTGCTACCATCGTTTACGATAAATTTAATTTGTACAAATTTCAAAGATACTTGAGAACCTTCTTTCTCATTTAATCTAATTTTTTCTAATTTCAATCAAATAAAGATCTGTGCACTAAGTATGTTATCGGTAATTTTTGATGAAAAATCTGGACTATCTCTGTGATAAAGAGGAATTTCCATTTGAATCCCAGTAGCGGATTCACGTGGGACATAATTTAACAACACTTTAGGCCATGTATCTTGAAACAAACTTACAATAAATTCTAGATCGTCGTATCCATAGTTGACGAAGAGCGACTCGTACTCTGCCAAGTTTAGTTTCGATAACCATTGACCCACTAACGTTAGCGCGCACGGGCTGCCGGTATCCGAGCTCAAGCCTGTGAGACAAAAAGACAAAATATCCGCTTATCAAACGACCAAACTGATCTGAATTCGATTGGCCTCGATTAGACCCTTCGCACGTGTGGTATTAATAGTAAAATTAATGCGATTTCTCTCGTCAAGTGATAATTTTAGTCAATGAGTTGAAAAATGTCGCAAGTTTTTATTCATGAGTATCTGTGAATGATAGTTTTGAGAATCAAGAAAATAAGCAAGAATTTATCGCACATTTCATGTATTGTACAATAACACATTCTTGTTACATGAAAATTTACTCGGCAAAGCATACACAGGATCGTAATTAAGCACCGAGACCTGGAATACATCTAGATGTGCTTGCCGAAACAAAAGAACACTGAAAAGAAGAAGAAAAAAATGGCTAAGCGTTAACCCACTTCCTGTTAGACTTTCCTGTATTTTTCTACGTAATTCCGATTCAGCAGGGGAAAAAAATTTTCCGCCCCGATTAACTAGCCATTACAAAAAAAAATCGATGCATCAGTGTAGCTGCTGCTCGGTGGTGCAGCCTACCAAATTGTAGAGAATCACCGGAGCATCGCGAGACTCGTGGAGATGATGCGGCTTGTGCATGACAGCGTATGGATAAAATGGGCATCGCGAGGCCTACGCGAATGAGGGAAGAAATGTGAGGAGTTCGAAAAACAAAAAGGAGTACGAGAGGCTTGGAAAACATTTGGCAGGAGTTTTTTACGAGAGGGTAGGTATTTGAGAGGAGAAGCAGGAGAGGGATGGAGTCGATTTTTCGAGTGGTGGTGAAGTTTTCGAATACAAGTGTTATGTAGGCTTTTCAAGTACTGTTGGTAACTTGCAACACTGGCAACGTGCTGAGTAATAATTTTTTTTTTCGGATCAAGAATCTTTTGCTGGAATTTTAGTGGGAACGTTAAGTATTATCACGTTGGCGACGTATGTAACGCATCCAGTGGCACGTATCTTTTCAAGGGTAATAATTGTTTTTAATTTGTAAAAAAAATTTTTTGGTGTAAAAAAACTCAAATTTTGTATGATTATACTAGTTTTTCCCGAAACATGAGGAAATATCTTAAATTAATCGAATGAAAAGGTGTGTAACTCACTTCCTTTGATGCTATTTATTATACAAATATTTGTCTTCAAATTTCACGTAAATATTAAAGATCTTGAAAAAGCATCTCAATCACTAAACAATTTGTGCAATTTTCATGGATTTCATTAAGCTTGAACCTACCCATTAACAAGCAAGTTGGAAGGGTCAAATGAGGTGATATGCAGTTGCCATCTAACGAGTTATCAACGCCCTCCAAAGCACAGAGAAAGAAAAACGCGGGCGTTTCCAGCCACGGGGCCATTGACGTGTTTTTAAAGCAAGTGGTACACAAGCCATCACCGCAAACGTACATACCTACGTATCGCAGACGAAAGAGCGTGGGTTGGGTCACGCCCAAGGGAGACAGAGATGTTCCAGCGGTAGTTATGGTACACTTAGGTGGTGCAACATAAAAGACGCGTTAATGACGCCTGCACTTAAGCCCTGCACGTGCCAGCCTCTAACGAATGAAGCTCCTACTCCTAGCCAGACGTGTACATCAAAGGCAAAATTAAATCCCGACTAAGACCCCTAATTACTTCGGAGTCGGCATTTCCAGGTTACATCTTCGAGAATTTACATGACGGAGAGTTTGAGTCACGAGAAAAATAGAGTTCGTGGTGTAAACTGGTTAACAAGCAATTGACAATAGTTGGATCAAATCTATTACATACCCTTGGGGCGTGATTTTTGCATAATTTGTGTTATAGACACATGTAAATTCTATTAATTGAAGGAGTGGTGGGCTTAATTACCGTGATAATTAGTGAGAGTTTGTGCTGAACTCTCATCAGGAGTTATTTTTTTGATAGCAAACTGTGCGTTAACGATTGGATTGGTACTTCTTTTTCTCGTACCCTTACTAGGTGTTTGCTAAGTAAGCAAGTTTTTATAAATTTGTTTGGTGAGACATTCTTCTTCTTACTCTTTCTTACTTACGTGGTTTGATTAGAATGCAAATTTCGATAGTTTGGTTGAGCATCACATATATTGAAACAGTAAAAACTCGAGTTATGTAACTTGATATTGATGTATTTTACAGGGCTATTGTCTCATAACAAATAACATAAACCTGGGATAAATATTCATTTGATCACGCAAAAAAGTAAGTCTTGAATTTCAATACTTAATAACACTTACTTCATAGCTAAGTACGTTTTGACATTTACTCGCGTGCATCATTTACGAATTCCCAACAAACAATGACCAACCTTATGCAAGTAAAGTTTACACGTTTACAATAAGCAATACCTTTTAATTTTTATACATCTGCGTTTTATATTCATTTGAATAATCTCAACATGTCATTATATATTAGCTATTATATTTATCAATCAAATAATTAATTCAACCATTTTTAGTATTTTTCTTTAAATTCTCATCTTTTGTACATAATTTTAATAATTACAATTAGCTACGTTCAAACTGATTCCCTCGTCAAGTCAAAACCATTGTGCAGTATAAGCAGACTGGACTACCACTTATGTTTTCTTTACTTATTCTTAGAAGCTAACAAGTAATTTATTCTCACGTTTATTTTTTATATCTTATTAATATTTAATATTAATGGCATACGAAGTACTCTGTAAATCACATTATAATTGTTAGTGGGTTATATGTGTGAGTGTATAGGTATGCGTGTTTGAGACATCGAAAAATGTCGAAAAAATTCGCTTGAGTGAGCAAATTCACGAGCAAAGTAAGTGTATCCCTGTCTTTTTTTTTATTTTCTTATTTTCCTGTCAAATAGCACGAAGAAAATAGTCTACGTGAACATCGCTTCTTTGGTCCGTCGATTTGTATATTTGTGCGCCTTGGCGTACCATACATCTATTTGAATGGGGGTCGAAGAAGCAGGGGAGAGGCATTGATTCAGTTTGATGTATGTACACGTGCTATTATGTCTGAAAACGTTTTTTTTTTCGTTTTTATTGAACGTATGATGGTTAGGATACGTTTCTCTCGTTGAAAATTCATAAATGCCTATTCATAAAATGTATTCGTACTCGAGTATCTTTAGATTCAATATTTTTGGTACGTCCACCTATTGACAAACTGATGAAATCAAAGTCATAGAAAAGTCACCTTATACTTCAACACTAAGCAATTTTTCAGTGTAACATGCTAAAATTTATTACATTGTATATCTATGAACGTTTATTTTATTATTTTTATTCAAATAAGCTTTTCCTTCGTTTACCAAAGGTCGCTGTATACTTATTTGAGTTTCGTTCCCATCGAACAGAGAAGTGTTACTGTAAATCTTATATTACCTACACAGTAAATTGAACGGTTTACCGTACGTGCTTTTATGTGCATAGTACGACCTCTTTATGCCACGTGTAAAGAAATGAGGTCGTACGTTACTTTGGCAGTTTTATGTCATCAAAAAAAAATTTTTTTTTTCTCCTCTAACGTATATCTATCCTTCATTATAGTTCTGGTTTTACGTTTGTTTTATTTTTTTATCAGTGTCTACCATACAGCTCGTAAAAATGTCAACTTGTACTCTAATACTGTTTGAAATCGAACCATTATTTTTATTTGCAGAGCAATTGAGAAACAAGTGCAAGTTAACGTTTTCAGTGCGTGAAAAATGGGCCATTGCGACATCGCAAGAACAGATGACTGCGTCTCCTTTCCTAATGCTTTATTTAAACACATGTTGTCCGTATTAATTTATCAATGTTTTTGTTTTGCTTTCTTTGAGCAAATTAAAAAATTTTGAAATACATTCGAATTTCTTTTACACTTATTTTTATTATCCGAGAATTATACAATAGTATTTGATCACGCATTTATTGTAATTCTGCATCTATAATAGCTGCGCACAAGTTATGACTACAACCGTGTCACTCGCACGGCTGTCCTACACGTAGGCCGGTCCGCATAGTAATATAGTACTATAAGCAAATTTTTCATGAATCATTTCGATGTCGCTTAGCGGAAGTAACTCTATTGTATGTTGATGCATATCTAAAAATGTCGATGAACAAATAAGTCGTTTAGTTTTGCAGGTTATACTCCCGTATCGAGCTTACGTTTCGTATAAAAGGTGATAACGAGGCTCTCGCGTTATTTTACTTTTCTTCTACGATGGACTTACCGATATACGAGAAATAATTTCGCTTTACAAATAAATTCGAAAAATGACTGTAAACTTTCTAAGAAAAATATTTGCAGTAAAGAGTATAAGAAAAATAACGTTGATAAAAAGTTAAGGTATACATTTACAAGATTGTTTACGTTTTGACACAAGTTCATGTACTTTACAATTTATTGAAACTTTTTTTAGTGAATAAAATACTTACTTTATCACTTTGAGCTTAAAAAAATTATCAGGACTTGGTTCGTGGTGGCCTTTGTTAAATTTTTTCTGATTGTAAAAAGTTACTTGTTCTCTGAAAATATTTTTAATCCAATAGAATTGAATTAGTAAATCGAATATTATATTAGCTTTTTTAATTAATTAATTAGAAATTTATTTAAAAAGTATGTTATCAATTTTTGTTTCATATCATGTGAAAAGAAACTATCAAATTAGATCCGTTCGATAATATTTTTTGGATGTTGACCACATGAATAGAGAATACATAAAATTTCAGTTGTTACTGGTAACGTCTTCAAAATACATTACAACCTACTAAAAATTGATTAAATGTTCATTATCATCAAAGAAAGATAATTTTCAACATCAGATTTGAAAAAAACATGTATGCTTAAATTTTGCCATTTCTGAGGGGTGAGTTTAGTTTTAAACACTATTATAAATAAAATTCAATATAAATTAATAGATTATCTTAAGTTTATAAATTAAATTAAACTGTTTGTTTGTTTGATTCTTGTTCTAATGAATCTATAAAGGGTTATAAACAAGTATCTATAGTTAGTGAAGAAACTGTTGTCATAGTTAACTACCATGAATCAGAGTAATTCAAGTTTTTAGGAACATACTTAAGCAATCTATCTTCGATTCTGTACTGTTTCTAAAGCTAAAACTGCAGTTGAAGGAATTTTAAGTAAAAATTCGATTACGATAATCGTTGAAAAGTTAGTCAGCAAAATGAGCTGCAATCGCAGCGTGGCCTTACTTAAATTGTACAAAAAACATTTCATGTGTGATATACATGTGCGACCACGACGATCACCTCCGAACTTTACTTCAAAAAAGTATATAGTGCTACTTACCTTTGAAACTTCTTTTTCAAGATCATGTGATCTGAAAACGTCGTTTCGAACAAATACAAATTATCCTGAAAAGTTATTATCTTCATTTTCAGTTGGTAAGAATCGCGAGTGATTGCGCACTTGATTGTTATTATCACTTGAGAGATCAAAAAAAGTCCTCTTTCATTTCTGTCCCTAATCTGAAAAACAACTCATTCCCATCTATTGTCCTCGTTCGCAACAATTATTTTGCTCCAAGATAAGGTCACAATGCTGCGAAAGCTGCAATAAACGAAAACAAAAGCAATACAGATGTGCACATACAAGCATACCATGAAAAATAAAAGCATGTGAATCAAATAAAAAATGAAGGAAAATCATAATAGAAAATAGCTTTTATTGCGTCAGCTTAATCTACAAACATGAAACGTAAATGTTTGACAAACGTGATGGAGCGAAACAATGAATGAAAAATGACAGTGATGATAAAAATAATAACCTCGTGAAAATAAACCCCACTAGCTGTTGCAGCAGTGCAACGTTACTGTATGTATCGCATCATTTCAAAAAATCGTCGTTGTCTATTATGTCACCGTCAACAGTTCGTCTGTCACAGATTCGTTCATCATCAGCATCGTCACTACGACTCAACCTTCTACATTTTCATTTTTCAACTATACACCCCCCCCCCCCTTTGTCCCTCTTCCGTAGTCTTTCTTATGTACAAACTTCACAAAATTTACACGTAACATTGACAAAGATGCGGAAAAAACTCGGCGAATTCAACCGATCGTCGAACGGAATACCACCGCGCATCATCGTTGGACAGACAATGAAAAAACAAAAATTAATAAACGTAAAGTAAAAAAAAAAAAAAAAGAGTGCGCTTAAAGCTCCTCCGATATTGCGATGGGCGCCCTAGAGCCAGGCTTCATGTCCTTGACGCCGATGCCAATGTCGTCGACCGGCGCCGGTCTGACTTTCATCTGGCTACCGTTGAGTTTGATGTCGTTGACGGAATGCGATCTCCCGTGCGTGGCTAGCAGCTTGATCGCCTGGGCGTTGGCCGAGTTACTCGAACTGTTAAAGTGAGAGTTCGAGTTGGTCGTCGTGGTCTTGTTGGGACTGGGCATTCTGTTCAGCTGCTGTCGGGCGGCCAGACTCGAGCTGGGAGAGGTGGAATTATTGGTCGACCCACCGGTGCCAATGAAGGGGTTGCAGATGAGAGTTTTGGAGCGCGGCTTTGTTCTCGGAGCGGTGTGGGTGTGGTGGTTGCTCGGCCGGTCGTTGTTGGGTGGTTGGCTGGTCTCGACTGACAGGGAGCTCGTCAGCTTGGCGTTGCCACTGGAGTTAGATGTGGAGGACGCGAGACTGGCTAGCTGGGTGGCTGATTGAGAGCGGGTCGCATGGCCGCCAAGCTTGTCTTTCAAGGCGATTTGGTAAGCAACCTCGAATGCTTGACCCAGCGTCAGGATTATTTCGGTTGCTTGGTCCTGTAATATCGGAATTGAAAATTTTACTCTATAGGAATCCGTTCTTTCGTAAAGATTTTTGTGGAGTTTGATGGATCACAAGTGTGATGATCCATGTGTCGTATAACTGCAAAAAGTCATTACCATTGTTGGCACGCAGAATACATGACAGAAGTGTGTACGACTCGCGTGATCTTTGGTAATGTAAGCAAAGTGCGTCAGATCATCTGCATCTTGACAAGCGCAATGGATGTTCCGTATTTCGTGCTCGCAAATTGGCTCCTGTTTTATTGGAAAAGAGAAAACAAAGACAAAATTTAACAAAGAGTTTGAAAATTCAATGCTTTTTATGATGATTCATGTAATGTTTAACTTACATCCGTCAGTGGGTTAAGAAATTGAACGCCACGATAGGATATGGACAGCGTTATGCCCGGGGTGCACCTATGGTCTCGACAATCCTGAACCTTTTTCAACTTTTGAATGGACTTTTTTGTTGACTCCGTGCCACGCAATTCTTTCACAACCGTCGAGCCCAAGTACTACGCAAACAAATATTGAAAATTGTTTTAATTTATCATCGGTACTTATTTTTATTAAAGCTCTTTGAATTTGTCATTACTATTATTATATTCACTAACGCAAGATAATATTTTGCAGTAACATATAAATTTATTAACAGAAAAATAATACTTGTAACACTTGGGACAAAAATAAGGATGGCATTGTATTCAGCAGACTTTCATCGATAGGAAATTACCGTTTTGTTTTTTTAACGCATACATTTTTTTATCAATATTTTTCAAGTTTCGGAACTGCTACCAATGATTCCTCGGTTAATAGTGAAAGCCCACCTTCTACCAACAACCGACAAACTGACAGGACTGAAACTCACGTTGGCGACGTATGTAACGCATCCAGTGACTAGATCCTTGGGCTGATGTCTCCACTGAGTCTTGAGCGTCGAGGGGACTCCAAACAGTAGCTCGGACGGGCCACGAATCTCGAGATGCTCGGGAGCTTGCACAGTCGTACCATTTTGCTGTGTGCTCTGTGGCTTTAGCGGTGGTGGTGGTGCCGGCCGGTTCTTCCTGTGCCTCAGAGTTCCGGTAGTGTTTGTCGTCGCTGTTGTCGTTGCCGTGGTTGTCGAGGATGTCGCTGCAGTCGTTGACGTTGGCGTCGCCACGCCGTTGTTCTGCACCGAGTCTGGCAGCTTCTCGCGAATCTCATCCTTCAGTTGTTGTATATTCGTTTTCTGCGACACGAAAAATCGTTGTGACGCGTTAACGCTTTTTATTTTGCTCGTTGTCCGTTCATTGCAATTATAATTTTGACGATGTATGGAACAGAACATAAATAATGAGCCCTTGCCTGCAGCATGAGCACAACAAAAAAACTGTTCCCTCGAAGTGGTATCAAGCGATTGGAAAATAACGAAAAAGAGACAGAGGGAATCGAGAGCGGGAAACTTATTAAGCCAATTAGAGGGACGTGATAGAGCGCAAATAATGCGAGAGTCAAGGCAGGTGGGGTGGAAAGGACAGGTGGGAAGAGAGACACAAACGAGACAAAAGGCCCGTGGGGTGGAGAGAGAGAGAGAGAGAGAGAGAGAGAGAGAGAGAGAGAGAGAGAGAGACACGTGTACTTATGTACACACAGGCAGGAAAGACTCTCAATTCTCTGTCTTCGTTGACTTCATAGCTCTTTTCCCGCCCCGACCTGGCCCCGGCACGCGAAAGCTTCCAATTAGCCGCGGTATTTATACCCCGATCGAACTCTTGAAGCCTCACCTACTTCATTGGTATACACACACTAGTGAAGTGTGGCATTGATGGTTCAAAGAGGTGATTGAATGAGACTGAGAGAAAGAATGGAAAGAGGGTCCTTTTGCACGCGATGTCGTTCCGAGTACGTCTGACGCGCCCTGTATTGTCGCTCATGAAAATTATATCACGTGACTAAGAACATTGTACGTGTCAAGTGCCGATGTGATTCGACTGACGCTTTGTTTTATCACTTAACCGTCTTTGTGTGCGGACAATCATAAAATTGCTTCTCTATTTTAGTAAATTAAAAAAAAAGATAATTTAAAAAATCCACTCACCAAAGTGTTAAGGTCCTTGTTCAGATCGTCGAGGTTCGACTCAGCTCTGCCATTGCGTACGTATGCTTCAGAATACGACTTGGTGATCGTGCCTTGGCCGTTGGTACTGTCGCTGTTCACCGACGTCAAAATGCGTTTCCGATGTCCCGGTTTTTGTATCTCAAGCACAGCCGCGAGCTCGACCTCCCAGACCCTTCGCACGCGATCCATGTCCGTGTACAGGTGCCGCCTGAACAGATCCGCGTACCCGGACAGGTGTATCGAGTCGAGCCATTCGTCCACCGTCTGGTTCGCTGACTGGTGACTCGGAATCTGCTTCTCCACTCGCTTGTTCAGAAGTGACACCGCGTCGAGGATAACTGCTCGTTCCTTTTCGCTCATTATGCCCATCTCCTTGAGGTCCGTGTCTTCCAACAATCCGTTCTGAAATTTCGAGAGAAGGTCACCCTTGTGCCGAATGGTTGTTTTTGTCATCTCAGCGATAGTCAAAGATTTTTCTCAACATATCGTGATTGCTACCATCGTTTACGATAAATTTAATTTGTACAAATTTCAAAGATACTTGAGAACCTTCTTTCTCATTTAATCTAATTTTTTCTAATTTCAATCAAATAAAGATCTGTGCACTAAGTATGTTATCGGTAATTTTTGATGAAAAATCTGGACTATCTCTGTGATAAAGAGGAATTTCCATTTGAATCCCAGTAGCGGATTCACGTGGGACATAATTTAACAACACTTTAGGCCATGTATCTTGAAACAAACTTACAATAAATTCTAGATCGTCGTATCCATAGTTGACGAAGAGCGACTCGTACTCTGCCAAGTTTAGTTTCGATAACCATTGACCCACTAACGTTAGCGCGCACGGGCTGCCGGTATCCGAGCTCAAGCCTGTGAGACAAAAAGACAAAATATCCGCTTATCAAACGACCAAACTGATCTGAATTCGATTGGCCTCGATTAGACCCTTCGCACGTGTGGTATTAATAGTAAAATTAATGCGATTTCTCTCGTCAAGTGATAATTTTAGTCAATGAGTTGAAAAATGTCGCAAGTTTTTATTCATGAGTATCTGTGAATGATAGTTTTGAGAATCAAGAAAATAAGCAAGAATTTATCGCACATTTCATGTATTGTACAATAACACATTCTTGTTACATGAAAATTTACTCGGCAAAGCATACACAGGATCGTAATTAAGCACCGAGACCTGGAATACATCTAGATGTGCTTGCCGAAACAAAAGAACACTGAAAAGAAGAAGAAAAAAATGGCTAAGCGTTAACCCACTTCCTGTTAGACTTTCCTGTATTTTTCTACGTAATTCCGATTCAGCAGGGGAAAAAAATTTTCCGCCCCGATTAACTAGCCATTACAAAAAAAAATCGATGCATCAGTGTAGCTGCTGCTCGGTGGTGCAGCCTACCAAATTGTAGAGAATCACCGGAGCATCGCGAGACTCGTGGAGATGATGCGGCTTGTGCATGACAGCGTATGGATAAAATGGGCATCGCGAGGCCTACGCGAATGAGGGAAGAAATGTGAGGAGTTCGAAAAACAAAAAGGAGTACGAGAGGCTTGGAAAACATTTGGCAGGAGTTTTTTACGAGAGGGTAGGTATTTGAGAGGAGAAGCAGGAGAGGGATGGAGTCGATTTTTCGAGTGGTGGTGAAGTTTTCGAATACAAGTGTTATGTAGGCTTTTCAAGTACTGTTGGTAACTTGCAACACTGGCAACGTGCTGAGTAATAATTTTTTTTTTCGGATCAAGAATCTTTTGCTGGAATTTTAGTGGGAACGTTAAGTATTATAGAAAACAAAAGTATTTTAAGAAGAAAATTACATTAAAATCATATTTGATCCCAACTTTGGTTTTGTTCATATTATATTACTAAACACATTTTTAAAAATTAGGATATAATCAATACTAATTAATTTGACTAGAAAAATTAATAAGCATATATTAGCATTTATGCATCTAAAAGTATGGGTAAAAGCTTTTACTAAATTAAGTAGGTATACCAGAAGTTTGCCACCTTAATACATTATTATTAAAAATATATTGAATATATTTAAAAAAATGAGTATTCAATCTCCTGTTCAGTTAATATTATCCTAAACAATTCTGCAATAATAATTTTATTTAGAAAAATAGGAAAAAATCGTCACTAGATATTTAAATAAGTTGGATGTCTAGATACGTGAATATATCATGGGAGTATATATAAGTAATCGCTGACAATGGAATATCAGACTTAGTACTATACTAATATCTTATCAGACACAGTACTCATTTTGGATGAACTGTAAAAAATTGTATAACAGTCATTTGCTGTACTCACCAAGCCTTGCCTGGAACTCGTTTTCCAGCTCCTTAACAAAGACGGACTCGCGTACGAGGCCAGTGCCAAAAGAGGCCATGATCTCCGATATCTTGGCCCACTCCTCCTGCTCGTCGAAGGGACTCATGACGCTCAGGGTTTTGTCGGTATCTTTGTCAGCGGATGGTCCAGTGGATGGACCCGAGGATGCACGTGGCAGGTCCCGGGGCTCGCCATCACCGGCAGGCTCGGCTCCGGTGCCCATGCTCTGGACACCTGCAACCGCTGCCGGCGAGTAGACGTTGCGCAGCCGACGCAGCGTGCGCGGGCGCTCCGCCACGGACACCGAGCCCTTCAATAGACCTGTAATTAAGAAATCGCGATGCGTTACTACGGATTTCATTCAAGGATTTTTTGAGTTTTCCAGATACATAAGTTTTTACTGTAAAGGCTTGTAAGTACATGTGACTGAGGCTTGGCATCGTTAGTTTTGTCAATCATCTCAGTTAATGTAGGTTCATCCTAATCGAGTGAACTACTGCAAGAGCAATTTAGTTGACAGTTCAAATGGTCTCAGTATTCAATTGTTATACGCATTGGTAATTTTTTGTCATCACTAAAATATGAAGGCAAATTATTATTAAGAAAAAAAAAAAAACCTTTGGACTCCTTTGGTCCAAAGTATCGCCCTATAAGATCCATAGTCATGACTGATCTGCAGATGACACGAGGATCTCCAATGAAATCTGATGCTCCCACCGAGCGCGTGAACTCGACAATAAAAGCTGATCGAACAAGCGCGTCGTCGCCCAATCCTCCAGAATAATCCATGCACGCCTTTACTCTCGTGAAATAAAATCGTTGAAACCAAATCAATTGAGATTCCAAGCTATTGGAATTGAAAAATCGATGCGTACAAGAATGGGACTACTTCTTCAGAACCGGTGGAAGAGACCAAGAAATCGTAGCGTCGTCAGCATTGACGAGGACGAGGAAAAGCTGTCGTTATCGAGCCTTGCCGAGCGTGAACTCGAAAAAAGCCCACTGCGATCCGATGCGTGTGCGAGAGAATAGAGGCGGAGAGCTTCTTTCTCTTCCTCGGGAGGGGGAGAAAAGTCGAAGAGCCATGAGACGGAGGTGTAGGAGGTAGGAGTCTGGGTGCTCATACATAAGTACGTAATCACGTAGTGAGTCGAGGCACTTAGCACGTCACCTCTCCTCGTTTGACGTATACACACGCACGCAGGTACGTTCAAACCTTGGCGCTATTTTTCAATACTTCTTTCTCGTACCTACTACCGCAAGCGTTTGCATTGTGATTATTGTTATTGTTGTTTGTGTCGCCCTGCCAACGATGGGTGCCCCCAAAGTGGAAAGAAAATGTTCTCGTTTCCGCGCAGCGGATGGGGGGTTCTGTGGATAATTCATATAAGAGGTAAGTACGACATTTACACTACATAGAGCCTACTTCTTCTATTGTGCATGGCTTTATTCTTCTCTAGAAGACGAAATTCAGAATTTACGCCACGTACGTCTCAGGCGTAGGTGTAAGTAACCTGTCGACCCAAAGTATATATAACATGGAGGGACGAGAGCTCAGATTTCACGCCAAAACAATCCATATTCACTTCAGAGAGCTTTTGTTGGGTATGAAGCTTGTGCATGTGTCAAGTGCAGGTGTAAAGTAATGGAACAGCTCTGCGGCGTGAAACTGCGACACATGAATCAAGTACTCCCAGCAATGACAATGAAACTCACGTTAAGCTAACTCGTGAAAAAGAAATGGAGTTGCTACGGCCACATGGTTGTTTCTGTATCAAGTTTTTTTTTTTTTTTTTTTTTTTTGAGTACTGGATTTGGAGGTAAAAGTGTAACGGAAATAGGAAGTTGTTGAATTTCATCGCGATATTTCATGGACTGATGCTGATGAGTATTAATAAATTTTTTCCCTATTTTTTGACGTTATGAGAAAAACTAGTCTTATCAAAGTTGAACTGATTTTTTATTTAGTTTCACTGACTCTAGGAACGTATAATCAAGTCCAATAAAAGGTAAATTTTAACTTTATTTTCTTGCTAACATTGTATACCATTACATTTGCATATTTGAATGAACTCATTTAAACTAAGGATTAAATACTTTTGTCCGGTACACTTGGTAGATATTACATTTGTCTTTGATATTTGTTTACAAAACAGATCCAGAACGTATGTCCATACGAGTAAAACATGCACACACGTTCGTGACAGCGACAATAGTTTTATTTTCATTATTTTTAATTCATGCCGTTAGTAGTGAGCGTTCAATTGGGTAAAAAATAGAAATGTAAATATTCAAAAAATGTTGGTTGCAAAAATTTAAAAATATTATTTTAAAAGTAACAATAACGACTAATAAAATTTCTTGGTACATTAGTAGAATGACATAATTTTGGCATTTACCACGATAGAGGTACCCAAACTTTGGAAATAACAAAGAGGTAACATGAGATGACTCACGTTTTCAAAAATAAACGGAAAAAATTATTCTCTGATATCAATATATCCTTTAATCCAACAAAAAAGTAAAGTCTACTTCTATGAATGACATTCCAAGTTGTTTTTTTACATAGCTGCTGAGTGCTAAACTTTCAGCTATTCCGCTAACCATGAAGTTAAAGGCTTAGAAACGCACATTTTCTCCATGAAAGCACAATAAAACTGTATTAAGCCCACACTAGAATATTCACAAACAAAAAAATGAATCAGAGCATATGTGAAAAAGCGAAAAAAGAAAAGTTCTGGTCTCTTCGAAAGCATATCGTACTGTAACCAGAGCTGTATGGGTGTGCTTAATTTGAAGCTTGTAAATAAATGTGGGAAAAAACACATACCAGTTTCCCTGCACATCGTGTCCAACCCCTTACGCTACAAACTCGAAAAGTGAAGCAAATTACACATGAATCCGCGTAAACCTTCAGCTCCAATTCTGTCTCTCGAGTGAGCTTACCATTAGATTTTTACAACTACGCAGTACATCAGACTTGGCGCGTGACACGGCACACGTGGGATTTTCTGTCCCACTCACCCTTGCTCACCACGTGTTCTTCCCCTTTTTATTTTTTTCTTTTTTCCCCTTTCTTCATCGTACAAAGAGTCTCTTCGTGAGTCTTTTTTTGTCATTAGTCGTAGTCTCTCGTTCCACGAATTCCCATCTGCTTTTTTTTCTTTTTTTTTTTTTTTTTTTTCATAACGAAGTGACGCTTTTCTTGTTAAAACGTGTAATTAAATGTTTCGAGCGAATAACGAAAAGTTACGAGGGCCGAGCAGTAAACGCGCGCTGACGGCCTTAATTTAATGCGTTTGTCATTGTTCACTTTCAAAAGAAGTGTACGAAGCGCTCGTGTACATGTATTTTTGTGCGTAACGAGGGAAAAAATATTGTTTTTGAATAAACTGAAATTAATTAAAAAGACTCTTGAGCAAGATAAATAAATCGGCAGAACGAGATACCTGTCGACTAGAGACTCAAAACTGAATCAAAGTCATTTCGTATACATTCCTCTTGTTTTTTACTGTGAGAAATTGTATCATTTTACACAACTAAAATTCACTGTCTGTCTCATTAATTCCTAGTAACTTTGATGAGGCTCTCATCTGGTTTGTACAATCGTGACTAACCACGAGCTTAAAAGAAAAAAAAGAAAAATAAAAAAGGAGCGAAGTAATAAAATTTTAATAAACAAGACATTGCGTTGCGGCAGGAAGTTACCATCCACATAAAAAAAAAAAAAAAAAGAAACCAACACCGATAACGAACACATCGGTGCACTTGGTAAAGAAAAACAAGAAACCAAGGAAGCAGCGTGTAATCGAAACTTTCTCAGGAATAATAAAAGCAGTGTATACGTATAGGTTCTCGCGGCCCAGCAACAATAATCGTGCGCCAACGGTCGATCCGTGTCCATTGCACCCAACAGCCTGAGAGCCGTTTAGCTTTCATTTCCTTGGCAGATCCGCTGCTTTAACCCCACACCAATACATACAGACTCACGGGGGGTGGGAAGGGGCTCCGTTGGCATACAGACAGAGAGAGAGAGAAGAGGCCGCAGCTTTTCGCTTGGCATTGTGCAAATATAGAACGGCCGAAATTGCAGTCGTAGCGGCCGGCTAAGTCCGCTGCTCGAAATAGTGCCCACCGGCCAAACCAGCGCGCCTATGTATATATGACGTCTCTCGGATTCGAGTTTCGAAATAGAGAGCAGACGTGTGTGTGTGTGTGTGTGTGCGTGTACGTGGCAAAATATGTGAGCCCACTGGTGCTGACGGTCGACGATCCGGCTGGCAAACTTTTCGCGCTAATTACTATTGACAGTCGTGGTTACCGCGAACAAACGCTGCACCTATAGCCTTGTCGGAGATGAGAATTTGGCCTGGTTCCGATAGGCGCTCTTTGTGCTGTAGGTTGCGGAGAGGAGGTGTGATGCGAGCAGGTTGGATTGATGGGTTTTTCGGGTATGCCGGGTGGGAGGGGGTCGCGTGTTGCGTTGGATCCTGTACACAACTATTGTTTGGGTTGCTCAATTGCAGAACAAATTTTCGTTTCACCATCATTGTTTACTGCATGAGCTTTTAAATTGTGGGTCGCGTGATTATCGAATAATCGCCTGGGAGTGATTACTCAACAATGTCTTTTTTAACACTATGAATTGTTGTGTCTTCGTAATGAGATAAGATGCAACAACAGTGGTATTATTGAATCGCGGCTCATTAAGTTTTTTTCGAAAATTATATCATAGCTGCACATTAAAAACAAAAAAAAATCAATTATTATGAGCTTTGCGTTAACAAAAAATAAGACTTTTAACACCACATATCGAATATTAGGTGCAAGGATATGACAAAACGGTAGGGATAATCATTAAAGTACAAGTATGAAGTAAACTAAACAATATATTTTAAGATATTATTGAAAGTAACAGTCATCGTAGTTTTTTATCCAAGCAAGTGCTACAATTTTCGGTTATTAATTGTGCCAATCTCTTTTTTGTATCAAGCTTTGTTTGTTATTTATTAATTTTTGTTTTTCTTTGTAATCAAAAGATATCTATCGAAATAAATTGTGAAGATTGACTTATAAACTCGTTCCTCATTTATTTCAAAACGGATTTGAATCTTCATCAAGTAACGACCGAAACTATGACATTTTATCGAAATAGTTTGGTCAAAAACTATTACCACAAAACATACGAAGCCCTTGAATGTTTTTAACTTAATTAAAGAATACATTTGGCAAAGGCTTGGCTCAGCCGTAGACAAATTACTATTGCTTCACGATTGTACAACATTATTTTATCTCATTTGAAATGTTTGATCAGTATCTAA